TAGGTCCCTGCTTGTGCCAATTTCCTCCTGTCTGCCATGTCAGGGGAAAATGCCAGGAGCCATGCAAGGCAGCTTCAGGCTAACAGCGCTTGTCTGGGTGCATAGCGGGCTCCTGTAGATGGCTCAGGTGCAGGAGATTCTTTGAGTGGCGAGTTGTTCCAGGAACAATGTGTGTTAAGATGGGTTTAGAATCAGACATCATATGGAAGAGGTAAACAGTCAATGAAACACATTTGGTAAGATATGGCAAGAAATCTCACTTGGCTTTGTGACAACTCCTCCAAAAAAAAACTCAACACAGTTTCCACTTAGAACACTTCGCTCCAAAAAAAATTGAGCCATAGAGAAACAGAGAGTATAGGATCCGAAGGGGAGAGCTCCATTTTAACATAACCCACATCATCTATGCTATGAAGTTATTTATTTGTAACAAGTTTTAGAGGTCTTATAAGTTAAACTCAAATGCTAGTGTTAGTTTAAAACAAAGAACGGTGGATGCTGGAGATCTGAAACAAACAAAAAAAAAGGACTGCTTGAGAAACTCAACATCTGTGTGGAGAAAGCAGATTTAACATTTCGAGTCCTGCGATCCTTCAGTTCTAAAATCTCAAGATGTTAGAGGGTGAGCTCTTAACAAGCTCCTTAATTACATAAATGGGCTCAATTAATGATCCAGATGATTTCACTTTCCCACCCTCCACTGTCTTTGTCAAAATCAGCAGGGTTGTGAATGAAGATAGCAGATCACTGTGAAGGCCATCACTACCATTTTATTTGGTCAGCCAACAACATGTCAACGTGATTCTAAACAGGAAAATGCAGCCCCAGCTATCAGGAAAATTCATAATTCTCCCCCGTGCCTTCACATGATCAGTTGTGGATTAGTTCCCCTGCCCAAGGGAAAATCACTTGCCTGCCTTCTTTGAGGGGCAAATGATATAGAATTTGGGGAGCACATTTTAATACCTTTAAAATTGGAGAGGGATTTAAAAGTAGCAGATTGAGGAATTAATTCATCCACAAATGTGAAAGGAGTTCAACAGTCATCTTTAGTAAATGCTGACCCTAACAAAATCATTTTATTTTGCAGGTCTGGGAAATAAGTAACTCCCTGAGGAGTTGGAGATTATGTGTTCAACAGTACTGGAAGGCTCCAGAATGCTGCATTCACACTTCAGAATCAGGGAAAGAGCATGGAAAATTTGAGCTGTTATTGAATGCATTTGAAAAAGGAATGGGCTGTGATTATTTACTGAAAAACTTTTGCTTATGATTTATAATATACAGTGCACCATCACACATTAATAGTCAAAGAGGCACAAAGACCTACTATAGGACTGACTATATACATAAATCTCCTTTGTGTATGCTTCCTCCTGCAACTTAGAGACTTTGGAAATCCAAGTGCCTTTTCAGACTTGATTGTATCCTATTCTGTGGATCTTTGGTCCTTAATTTTGTCATCTTTTTCCTTATCTGTGCCATTTTGCAGATAGTGAGCACTGATGCTACCAACAGTGGAAATGGTGCTTGATACAGTGGCCCATTTGGTTGTAGTACTGTAGCAGCTACTCAATGATAGTCATTGAATATCCCACCATAGCCCGTGTTGAAATTGAATAAAAGGCCATAAGTATACGGTGCTCATTAATAAATCCAAGTTCAGTAGAAATATATTTGTCCACTGAATGTTTAGAATGTAGAAATCACTACCACATTGGAATAGTTTAGTTGACTGGACAGATACACTGAAAAGGAGATTTCAGATAAGTAGATGAGAGAGGAGTAAGGATATGGAGATAAAGTGAGATGTTGTAGGCAGATAAGAGAGTCATGTTGGACATAAAAAGCAACTTCAGTCTGTGTGGTGAAGTGTTCTGTTTCTGTGCTGAACAGTCTCTGAAATTCTTTAAATTCGGCAAATGCAATATATTGTGGACTGTTACATGAAATTTTCAGTTTGGTACTAACATAACTGGTTCACTATTACCCTTCAAGACAGGCATCCTACAACTCCTCCATCTGGCCCACATGAGACTTGAGGTTCTCACCCTACTGCTGTGTCTTAATGCTCTCAGGGAAACCAGGATGACTAGTTAAAAACGACGCCAGTCACCCATACTCCCAGAAGTAAGTAAGAAACGTGAAGCGGCAGCTCTGGTGGACTCTTTAAGCTTACCGGCTATCAGATGAGTAGTGCAGACCAAGTTTGAACCACACATGGTGGTTTACTCTCATTCAAGTTATCTCTGTTTGGCAGGGTACCTACACATGTGGGACTGTGCATATTTTCGATACTAATAGAATTGGGGCCAAATATGATATCTGTCCAAACCCTGCTGAATTATGAAAACACACAGCTTAATAATGGATGAGGTACAAGCTACAACTGAGGTCAGAAGAACCATACTTCATAACTTAACAGTGTTAAGGAAACTGGCAAAATAATTAGTTCAAGCTGAACCATCATGGTCTACTGAATTGAGATTTTTGATTCTCTGTGTTTGTCACAAGTTACCCAGATTGATTCTTCAGCAAATTACATTTTAGCTCACACTGATTTTCCTCCCTACTATACCCACCACCGATAGAAATGCTTCTTTCCCTCTGTTGCTGGTGCTGGCTTTGTGAGGCCCTCTCATTTTTCACTTCCCCTCAGCCGCTAAAAGTTGACTGGAAAGCTCAAGTTTGCCAAGATTGGAGGGTAGCTGACAACCCCATGTTACTGGCAAAACATAGCATCTGATGACATTCTACACCTGCAGCCTGTGATTCTCTTAGATCCATCGCTATCCCTCTATCAAGTCCATTCCTGAACATTTCACGTTTTTAACACAGCTTCGAGTACACCCTATTCTCTTGCTATAAACTTTAGATTTTTGACATCAAGATTGATGCTGAGTTATTAAATTCCTCACCTTCCATGGTCTTTTTTTTTGCAAACTTTAAATTGTAAAAATCTAATCTTGATATATTATACTGATTACACTTCCTCGAAGCCTCATCAAATCTTTTTTTCTCGTATCTTTTAAACTTGATCTATCTTGTCTGCTAGTCCAATGTCGGTTGCTCTCACTGTTTATGTTGAAATGTTTCCACCAAAATAATAGAAATAAAGAAAAGAATAGCAATTTTAATGAATACCTAATATTGTAGCTAACCTTTAGGAGTTTTGACTGTTTTTTGAAACAGAGAATAAATGTCTTTTAATTACTTACAGTAATCATACTCTTGAGTATGAAGACTTTGGGTTTTATCCTCACCAAGGAATGAACACAAAGTCTAAGCTGATATTTCAGTGTAAAGCTGAGGTAATACAGATCCTTTCTAGTGTTGAAGTCCCCTTGATTTAACTTCATTTATATTCAGTGTGCAAGGTGCATGGTACCAAACAACACTTACAATAGAACATGCTAAATCCTGTTCAGGAAGAATGGTTGGAGTTGCCACTTGCAGATGGATCACTAAGATTAGGTCACAATTACAGACGGTTGTGGTGGCCCAGGACGGCAAGTGAAGCCCAGAATGCAACTGAGACCTGTACATTTGCACCTTAGATCTCACAAAAATAATTCAAGACTTGCTGTTCTCCTCTATCACCTGTGGAACTGTGCCTGCTCCAACTAGTTCTTCCCTAAAATGGTAAACAAAGTTCAATTTATTCATAGAACTCCCGTTTTTCCATTTTGACCATAGTCTTAGTGGGGCCATTGGCACTATTTTGTTTCTTCTCTGCTTTTAATCAAGCCTCTTGCAGTCCACCCGCATCTCTGGCTGGAACATCCACCCTAGCACACTCAGCTATCCAGTTAGTTTTTCATGTCCTGGACAAAACCTGTGTTCTGTAGTAGATAACAGTGGAGATATTTACACCAAATATGATGAGAGTTATGTGAGACAAATATAACTTTTTTGAAGTTGGATTTCATACTGGTGGCATGTGTGTTTTGGTCTATTTTTGTGAAATGGTTTGAAAATTAATTAGATCAGTCTTTCCAGAACCATGATCTTTAAACCAGTGTGTGTAGGTGACTAGAGAATAGATGACTGCAAAGCTTCCTAGAATGTTAGTGGATGTTTTTATCTTGTGGGGGTTCATGACAGGAAAGAGAAAACATGAAGATCATAGCTACAGCAGAATTAAGGATGAGCAAGTCTTATTAACGTAGTTCAAAGGTTTTTGCGTGTGATTTGAGGGAGATCTGACAGGAGTCAGAATTAAATATAGTCCCTTCTCAAAAAGGGTATTGTTCAGTGCAGTTAAGAGCGTAAGTTACATCAGTGAAAGAGTTTAAGCTCATGAAACTTCCAGACCAAGAATGTTTGGTTAGAAACCTGCAACTTATTCAAAGCTGATTCAAAGCATCTCAGAGATCCATTCAAGGAAAAAGACTTGCCACATTGTAGGTGAGGGACTGAGAAGAAGTAGTTATGTCAAATCTACAGATTGTACAGACAATTTCTCTGGACTTTGATTAGCACTAAAGTAATGTTGTTGTGGAGTAAATGGAATTTTGTTTTGCTTTGTGTTTTGAAGATTCATCAAACTTGATTATATTATAGTCAGCTTGTCTTGGGTAATTTTATGTCTATTTCTTTTGTGTAATAAACTTTTGTTTTACTGTTTAAAAGTAACTCTACAGCATGGCACTGTTTTCAGCCTTTAACACCTCATGCATTGACGCAAATTTTACCAGAATGAGGTACACAAGGAGCACATAGCTATCTACTATTATTTTGAGTTTAAAAATAAAAATCTCATGTATCTTTCTATTTTTATTAGCAACCTGGCAAAAGCAGTTACTGGATATAATATTTGTATTAGATAACACAATATCTTGAATATGACGCTCCTATTGATCACCTGCCTGCAATAAACTTATTTCCTGATTTCATGTTGTGTTAAGTAGTAAACACCTGACTGAGGTTAGTGGAGTGTAATGATGTGTGAAAAAAGGAAATGGGCTGTTGAATACGGTCAACCAGTGCAGAATAAGCACAGAGAAAGGGTTTTCATTCCTGAGGAAACCACATCGGTAACAATAAGCCTCTTCACAGCTCAGTCTGTCTGAATCATGGGGAGATGGTTTGATCATTAGTGGGATTTAACACAGAGCCATAGCCATGTCATTTTTTACTGTGCACAGTATCAGAGTCAGCTGGACAGTGATTCTGTTGGTGGGATATTTTGTTTACTTGTTCCTGGGAGCTGCAGTATTCCAAATGTTGGAAAAGCAGGCAGAGACTCATACCCGGAGTAACTTCCAACTGGAAAAGCTCAAATTCCTTACAAACTACAGTTGCCTGGATGGACCAGCTCTGGAACGCTTTGTTGAGGTAGGTAGAAAAGCACTGAGAGGAGCTGGAAGTTGGGCAGGAAGGGAGCGGGGATGTTATTTGTTAATTTTAAGAATAACTCAAGGCACAAGACTGTGGATAGCAAAGCAACATACAAATGCATTCATTCGGGTCAGATTCACTGGAACCAGAGGAGCTCTAGCTAATTGGCAAGATTGATCTAAGAGATAAATTTTCCTAAGTGATATGCTTGTCATGTTGAATGGTAGTTTCAAAAGTGCTTGTCATTTTTTAAAAATGCGACTGGTAGTGTCGATGCAATGGTGAAAATACCAAGCATGTTTCCAAGGCTTATGCCTGCTGACAGTAATGAGGATGAAATTTCCCCATCTGAAGTTAAAATAAGACTATGAGTGTGTCGGATGGTGTCATATCCATCATTCTCCAGGGTGAATCATATGGCTATTAACCTAAGTAAGTGAGATGTTGGGTGAGTTACTAATCAAATCGTGAGGCAAATGAGCCAGAGGTTCTTTTTTCACCGACGAGATTTTCTGGGTTTGAAAGTTCCCATGCCATATTTAAAAGCAATGCTAGATCCCCTGTCACACACTGCAATCGAGGAACATTCACTCAGTCTCTGGTGGTCACACTGAAACGGAGCACACTGCTCCTAAGGAGGTGGAATGGACTCCAAGGTGAAGGGAAACTGCCCTTCAGGACGAGGTCACTGAGAGAATCTTCATTCCAGCTGACCGGATAAGGAGACCATCCCGTTAGAGCCATGGTTAGAGATCACAGCCAGGTCAATACTGTGGCTTCACTAAAGAAGGGTCAAGCAACAGTGCCGCCAGAAAGTCAACGATCTCTGCTCCACAAGGGTAAGTAACACCATCTTCTCTTTGATGCCTCATGTTCAAAGGGCCACCCTCGCCCTTAACTGTGTCGTTGCACATGATTTCTCATGAATGGACTGCAAGCTTCGGTATCACGTGCATCATGACCCCACAAGGGGTCTTCCTCTCAAACTACAAATCCTTCCTGCCCAGTGTACTTGCTACGCATTCGTTCTCTGGGGACATCTCACCACTCTGCATGGTTATGCATGATCACAGGCTGCTCCTAAACGCATCCCTATCCCATGCAAAATAAAAACCGAAAGCACTGCAGATGCTGTAAATCAGGAACAAGAACAGAAGTTGCTGGAAAAGCTCATCAGGTCTGGCAGCATCTGTGAAGAAAAAGAAAATCAGAGTTAACGTTTCGGGTCAGGTGACCCTTAAGCCTTCCCTTTATCTCACTGCAAGAAAGAGAGGCCTATAACCAGGATATTGGATGAAGGCCAGCATGGGGACATCGAGTATTAGTGTCCTGACCCCTTTCAAGGAAAGAATCTGTGGAACCTGCCAGAGCTGATCAGGACCACTCCAAAACCTTGCTTTGCATGAGCTTCTCAACAACTTTATCTCTTATGAAGGCAGTCGTGGCACCAAGGGATCAGCATCCAGGTACAGCCAAAGCCTGAACCCATCCTCACCTGCACCACTTCTGAGGAGGAAGAGTGCAAACCCTCAGAGGGTGCACCATCAAGGTGTTCATCTGCATCCTCAGAGTGTTGCTGAGACTCCCTCAGTGGGTACAGTCAATAGAATAGACTCGGGGGCACAATCTGGTAACCTCATTACTGTCACAGGTCCGCAGCTAAAGGAAGTAAACTCCCCCCCAGGTCTCTGAAACTCAACAGGGCTGCTGGAATCCTGCTCAGTCCTATGCCCCTACCCAATCCAACCTACTCAACCAGCAGAGAAAGGGAGGGGAACATCAGGAAGATGTACCAGAGGCCCTCAGACATCTGGGACAGAAGATAGAACTGTCCTTCCATGTTTTCTTACTGTGGTTGTTCCAGCAGAGGAACATGTGGCTGTCTCCATGGAGAGGCTGGTGGCTGCCTTAGAGACCCAGGTCCAACAGACCATTCAGTGGTTGCAAGAATGCCTGCACTTCATCCACCAACTCAGCATCAACAACAAGGAGAGAGGGGGAATGAGGAATCGCGCCTTCATTTCAGACGCTCTTTCCACTCAATGAGACTGGGTGGTGATGATACAGACGCCCACTGGGAGGAGGACAGACACCTCCCAGCAGCTTCTTCTCAGGTTATCCTGGAGGTGCCTTGACCCTCTGCCTGTGACCCCAACGCCGGCACTAGTTGAAGCTTAGGAGTTAAGCCTGCAGCTCAGAAGGAGACCCTCAGGAGGCCTGGGCCATCTGGATAAACAGGGGACAACACCCAACTCACCAGGACACACCACACAGGAGGCTCACTCCAGCAGAAGCTGGGCCTGGTGGGAGGAGAGGAAGAATGAAATATTCTGAAAACAATATTCAGAAGGCACATCAGCGACACAGGCAATTAAGCCTTGTGTAAAGACAGCACTTCTGTCAATATATAATCATTTCCACCACTATAATATCTGCTGTAGTTTGATTTGGTTAAGCTGGCCCTACTGCAATAATGTGAACAATGTGGGTCATCAAAGATGTGCTGAGTTACGATCACTGAGCATTGGGGAGTCTCTCATAAACGACAAACTGGGTGAGTGTAGATAGCCTTATCCATCAGGAACAAAGCACCTTTAAGTTGAGATTTCCAGCCAAGGTGCTACAGGTAAACCCGGGGGGAAACTAAGGCTTGAGGTAAGGGGTAGGGGCAAGTGGCAGAGTCCAGGATGTCTAAATCATTCACCCCTCATACACACACACGCTCACACACTCACCTCTACACACACACTCTCACACACACACACACACTCACACACAGACACATTCACACACCGACTCACACACACACACTCACACACACACACACACTCACACACAGACACATTCACACACCCACACACACACATACCTACACACACACAC